ATTTTGTTCTTATCTGAAAAAAAATCTTAGAAAACAAGAAAATTGGTGAATGCCACAAATTCTCCTAAATCACTCGTACGCACAACTTAAGAACAAATCTGTGGGTACGAACGGTTCTTGCATGAGGCCCATTGTGTGTAGACTGCATGGTTGCGGTTCTGGAAAAACATCACTGCAGTGTATGTAYTTGTAACTTCAGTAAACTTCTCAGCTTTGGGCAATGTGTTGTAGCTGTGACTTATATTAAAATCCTTTATGGCAGACAAAAACACATAGGTTTGCATTGAAATTCTATGAACAGATAGTCTACCCCACTTCCCCAATTAAAAACAAAAAAGTTCAAAATCYTGGCTAGCCAGAGGTGACCTGCCAACCACAAGCTGCCCATCCCTGTTGTATTTTTGAACATCATCCTTATTGCAGCACACTCCAGGAGAAGATCTCACAGTGACATAAAATAACTTAGTCTGRCTTAAAAGGCATTGTGGTAAGTGCTCCTTAAAGTGATGCTAGGCTTTTAATCCTAAACATATTCACAGCTACTTGGAACAGTTATTAAACTGTACGCAGTGGTCCATCAGCCACAAAAAAATATATACCTGWATATCATAATATCGTACATTTAAGAACCATCTTCTCCACAAGACACTCATACTCCTCATAAGGATCTGACAAACTGCCTCGTTAAGTATTGTTCCCCTTTCTATTACTCACCCTGGAAAGAAATAAAGTGCTATTCTGAATCTTCTTGAACTCATGAAGCAAACCCCCACACTGTTCTGCAATCACCGTTATATCAGCTTCAGCAAATTACTTGTGCTGGATTACCCAATAAGCTGTAAAAATAAAAAAATGACACCCTGCCTTGAGGCAAGTTCTGTAAGAGGACTTCAGAATACATGTCTTTGTTGAGGGAGATAGGATTCTGTAGGCTTCAAACGTCTAAGAGTTGGCTCTGTCCTTTTTTACAGGTTGCAATTTTATGCACTCGATTGCTCCTTTCCTGTTTGGTATGAGAAGTAAAAGTGTTTAGGAATCTTGGCATTGTATCAATAAATTAGATAATAAAGGACTATTGGGTACTACCAATTGTAGAGTGATGATAAATAAAATATCTAATGACAGTAAAAGGATTTTGAATACAAATGAGGTTTCAAATGAAGGGTCACTGAACTTCTCTGCAGGGAGAGGGACCTTATTCATGATATTTCAACAAAAAAGGTCAACAGGATTTTTAAAACCCTCTATCAGCTGAGTTTTTATGGTAAAACATAATAAAAAATAACCATGGACATCAGCCCTAATTATGATTTGCAACTGCCTCAATGATTTTGTTTTTTAACAAAATTATGTTTTACCAACTGCCCATTGAGCTTACTGCAGCATCAAAATGCTATGATGTAGCACAAAGGTGGTATTTAGACTTTGCCAGCAGGGTTTCTCTTATTTTTTTTTTCCCTTGGGCTGCACATTGCACACCTTTAGCTTCACTGAATCCCAGCTGGAGACAAGACAATGTTGCATTATGACTGTATGTGCACGTGAGCCCTAGTCACTGGGTAGGATGGTGAGACACAGTATAGGACAGGCACTGACTGAGAGACAATGCCAAGCTATACTAACTGCCAAAAACTTCCTTCTGATAATAAAACGGCAGAAGTGACTCATCGCAAAGGCAAATCAGTGTTGTTCCCAAGGTGTGTCTGATCGCATTAAGTGATAGATTGCTAATTGGCTTGGTGGCGCTGTTGAATCAAATGTGTATGGCTTAATTTCGGGAATAAAAATAAATTAAAAAGAAGAAAATTTGTGCTTGTTCACCATCTATTTTAAGCTGGTCCTGTTATCCATTTTCATTTCTCACATACTGACATCTGAATATAGAACATGGTAAAAAAAAATCTCATACATGAGAAACCTGCCTTCTAAATGTCACATTTGGTGAACTATTACGTTTGGTGTGTTGCTTTTTTATTTTTTTACATTTTAAAAAAGGTTTTCAACAGCCCAAGGGTTGTTGAACTTTCTCAACCTATAAAAGTCCTTGTATTCCAAAATTTGTGTTTAAAATAAAATAAAAAACAGCTGTAATAATTAATTAATTATGCTGAGCAGGTAGAGGGCTATAATGCTTGATCTGCTGATTTACTTTTTCCTTTTATGTTCTGGATTCAAAGTCAGAACATTTATGGAGGTGGATATTTGTATAAATATGTATTTTCCAAGCACATAGTTCAGTTTTATACCACAATCAAGTAACTATGTTACCTTCAATTTTGCTGTTTATATCAAAAAATAATTTAATTTTGCRTCATAGCCCATCTAAACGCCTTGAAATTGCTCTCTGTCTCTTTAAGAACCTCCTGCTGTTTCAGACAGTCCCATCCAGCACATCTTTACAACTATGCATTGGGGTAGGGGTGCTCYGTGAGGTGAGAGCTCAGCTGCAGACTGCTTCAGGGAGGTGCTACGTATGTACAAATAGGTGGTGCTTTGTAACGCGAGCATTTAGGCAGTTCCACATGGCTACCTCAGGAGATTCAAGGATTAATCAAACATGCATGAGGGAATGGAATTATAACATGAAATTAAAGCTCAATAAAGTCCATTTTGTACAACACCACCCTTTAAACTACATCCCATCTCTCCCTCTTTGCTGCAGTTCCTCCAGTTATCTTGAGACTGGCTGAGCCTGAGCAACGTCTTGACACCTGCATCGAATTTACAGTTCGTGGGTACCCACACCCCAAGTTGCGCTGGTTCCACAAACAGAAGGAGATTCTACAGAGTGACTACATCCGAACTGACATGGACTTCTACCAAGACTACCTGGAAGGTTGTCTTACTTTCCAGAACCCAACACACATCAATAATGGGAACTACACTCTGGAGGCCAGCAACCCTCTGGGAACAGTAACCAAGACAGTGTATGGACACTTCCTCACGCGCCCTGATGAAGACGGTGAGTGGATAATGGTGATTCTTTTTCTGTCTAAAGTGGCTGTTTTCTGAGGCTTCTGTCCTTGAGGTCAATGAGAATTCAAACAGAATCGTAGGAGAACTACAGTCAAGTAACTTAGCTCTGTCTTTTTGTGACTGGTCATCATGACTGAAGCAAGTTTTCAGCAGGTTTATGTTTTACTACCTGGGTTATACATTGCAACAGCCATGCCAAGCTCGTTTTCACTGAGGGCCACATGAACACTATGGTGGCCCTCAAAGGGCCAAGTGTAACACTGATGTTTTGTGTTGAACTTTTTGTCTAACACAAGACATCACAATTCTTTTCTCATTACTACAGCTGAGTATCACTAACAAACAATACCTGAGCTCTGCATGGTATTTCCTGCATTTAAACACCATTTAGACATGTCTTCTTAGAATCATTGAAAAGTACTACATGGATGACTGACTAATGGGAAGTGAATAATACAAAATACTATTGAAAGTAAAAAGCAAGATAGTTTTATTTACTGTTTAGTTCTGGTGAGTAGCTGCTGTCTTGAATTCTGAACTGTCCCATTTTTGGACAAGGAATTCCCATTGGAGGAGCATTCCAATTTAAACTGACAACTTGTAGATGGGAAATACCAACTTCCCAATACAACTGGACTACAGAAAAAGTAGCTGGTAAAAATGCAGCTAAATAGAAATGAGACAAATTTTGCTGACTGTAGGCTGTGCAACTTCACCTAGTGGTGGTATSTCAGCAGTTCGTTGGTAAAATTATCAACATGCATTATGAGAGATGCAGTTTATTGTCAATGCTGGCTTTAAAGCAACATATGCTTATTTTAATACAGTAAAACATCTTTGGAGCACTAGCGGGCCACATAAAATACAGTGGTGGGCCACATGTGGCCTGCGGGCCATGAGTTTGACAGGTTCTATATTATTGGTTAACACTGTTGGAGGCTTTAGTTGTTGTCATTTTTGTTGTTTTTAAAAATCTTCCTACATGGTGTGCTGGTTGTGCAGCTAATCCCTGCTGGCTGGATAGCAGCCAAGGTTCATCCACAGTTCAGTCAGGTAGATTGTTCACTTGTAGTTCACACTGAGTTCACAGGAAGGAGGGAAAAAAAACTCCACAAAGTCTGGCAAATTTCTCCCCATGGTCAATATTCCAGGGTTAAAGTCTTCTGTCAATTTACTGACATGGCGTGATGTTCTCTGTCTCTTTTTTTTTTTTTTGCAGAGATGTTGGAAATAGGTGAGTGTTTCTGTTTTCAAACGTAACCCTGTTGTGTATTTTTTTCTCCAGTTCTTTCTTCTTTTATTTTTCTATTCCTTCACCGCTCGTTTGGTGTCACACATTTGCTGAGGCAGAGCCACTTCATTACTGTTTGACTGCCACCTTCAAGATAGTAACCATGGAGAAATTTGTTCACTTTGTGCTGCAGTCCTTAAAGAAGCTCTTAGTGTTGCTCCTCTGTTTCCTTATCTGTTATTCTTCGTCTCAATGTCTTTGCTGAGCAGTGAAAGCATTAACTGTGTTCTGTGTTTTACTCTGTGGCATCCAAGGCTATGAAATGAAAATACAAAGTCTCCTAGTCTTAGAGTGGCACTTTCCAGGTGTTTTCCAGAACAGAATTTTCACTGTGAATCCAAATTTCATATTGTTTACTGCATAAAACTACTTTGCGTTGTTTTTTGAGTTTTTAAATCAGGATAAAAGTGTTTGATTGGGTCATAAAGGTTTCCATATTTATTTATTTGTAGTATATAGAGGAAGGCCAAAGAGCAGAGCTACAAATACTGTACATATGCTTTTAGAAAGGATTTAGAGTTAGTTGAAAGGAGGACATAGGATGCAGAGGACAGAGTGAGATGGAGGAGGATGACTTAGTGTGGTGACTCCTGACAAAGGAACAGCCAAAAATAATAATAAAAAAATGTGTTTATTTTTTTTTTAAAGCCACACGATTAACAGTCAACAAAATTTGGCAAAGTGGCATGTTCCTACAATGCATTGCTGATGTGTGGGTGATTTCATTTGTGCTGTAGATGGAATGTGTATGAAAATACATAAAAAATAGTATGTTATTTTCCTCTTCACTGGTTGTCCTTCCATGAATTACAGAAAAAAATTGAGTTTTTTGTGTCATCTTGACCCAAGGGACCAGAGAGTTAAGAGCATTTTGTTTGCAAATGTTACTGCAGTTGACGTAATATATCTTGTATCAATGAATTCCATCTGTGCACCATGTATAAGTATTTTCAGAATGTGGAAATACTTTCAGGAAACTATATTTTTATTCACTGTGATACGAGCTTGAATATGTTCAAATACGGTGGGAATGCAAAAGAAATACCTCGGGCGTTTTCTTATTCGTCCATGCACATCCTCTGTTTGTGGTGTGAGGTTTGGCCTCAGACTTTGGTGGTGGCCTCACTGTTGACAGCTCRAACAAAGTGGGTCGGTTCGATCCCTGACCTTCATCGGAGTCTCCTCCCATATATATATGAGGCCATTCTTTCTAATCAGCCACGGATTATGGGGCTACAGCACGGCCAGTGATGGAGACGAATGGAGTGTGTGGCAAACTGCATGAGGCACGCTGCGGGCTTCATATTGTCATACATGTACACSCTCACACTGCTTCGCATGAGAGAATTCAGTCATAGAGGGCAGACTGACGAGAGGACTGATACTAATGCTGCTGAGGAGAGAGTAGGGCTGAGGGAGGAGAGGAAGCAAGGATCAAGGCCGAGAGGGAGGGATGCAGAGCACAGACACTTACGCTTTAGGATGGTGTGTGTGTGTGTGTGTGTGTGTGTGTGTGTGTGTGTGTGTGGCAGCTAGTCTGCCATGTGGTCATTAATTTGCCTACAATTACTCTCTGATGTCCTGGCTGGAGGCCTCAGTCTGGAGTTGCCTTTCCTTCAGATCATTTCATTTTATAGGTCTGTCTCATGACTCTCTGCAGAATAGTTCTGCTTGTCAAAACTTTGTATAAATCCTATGTGCAGCATTTGAACATGTAGGACTACAGATTGTACATTCAATTTATCAGATCTGAGTACACACAGGTTTAAGTTTTGTCTCAAACTGTGTCTTCTGCTTTGTTTGGTCCATTTTCAGTGTTTGTCAGGTGGTTTTCATTCACCACTTTTTTATGGCTTATATAACTGTGAATTTTATCGGCAGTTATTTTTTTAATTTTCTCTGTATTTCAAATGTTTTGGCAACTGCATGCATTTGTGAAACTGTAATACAGATTTTATATCGTTTGTCTTACCAATGGTTTGATGCTAGATCAATTGTTTTTTAATTTTATAAAAAAGGAGATTATACTGTGGCAAGATAATTTAGCCAATGAACGAGTCTTTGTAAATAAAACTGCAATATTCAACCCTATATGCGTCCACAACACACACACACACACACACACACACACAC